TTATTCTTTGTCCTTCTTTTTTTTCCTTATTCAGTTAACTAAAAAAAGGGAACGAACAAAACGATAGATACATGTTTTGCATTTACATAAGACCATACAAGATTTATCGTACGTAATTTTTGTTTCAAATAGAATGATTATGTCATTAAATAACAAATATATATATATATATATAATTAATAATAATTATTATCTTATCTTAAACTTATGATAATAAATGACTATTTCCTGAGAAATGAATCCTCTGGAATCCATATATATCATCTAATATATGACACGATAAAATAATATGCTAAAAACTTGTATTCTCATATTGGCTGAAGTAATTAAAGGATTAAAATAATTAAAATTTCTCTCCTTAAAAATAAGTTTATATGTATATTCTAATTACTTCAAGCAATATTAACTGTTTATTTCAAAAATTAGAAACTATTCTTCATTGTTTGAATAGGAATTTATAAGTAACGCGTGCCGTATTAAAAATCACAATGGCTTTAAGACAAATGAAAAGTCAAGGAATGGAATGTTGCCGGTATCGCGTTACAGAGGATCAATTTCTCCAGGTAATAAAATCAATGTCATTCATTATCGTTGCCTTCAATTTGTTCCCGAGTTGTCGTTTCTATCTTGTCGAACTTTGATTCCATAAAATTTATGCTCGTTAATATTTCGTTTTTTTTTTTCCAAACCATTTTTACAAACTTCCAATGAGCAGAATTTTCATCGATATAATAATTTTCATCATAGTTCTTAATAAATATCTTTCTTTCAATCTCATATATGTATCTTAGAAGCACAACGTGAATTTTTATTTAATTTCTCTTTTAAGTCGTGCAATCAGACTGGAAGTGTTTTAATTTGATTGACAGGTTTAATACTCTTCATTGACGATGTTAATTTGAGGTCAATTAAATACGAATGGCATTACAGCGAAAATTTAGTCTGTATAAAAATATAATTTTTTTACCCGATTATTACGATATGACTTAACGTTCAGCAATTCAACTAAGTGACTTGATTAAACGCGAACAAAAAATGAATATTTATGAAATTATCAATATATAATACATTTACAATAAAAATATTTTCATTCCGAAGTACTGACTTCTCTTACTAATATTTTCTTATAAGAAACATTATTGTAAAACTTTATTTGATTTTCAAAATCTAAATCTAAGAAAAATCTAAGAAAATATTTTTTTTCTTTTCTTTTTTTATCATCAATAATGTTATTATACAATGTATGAAAGTAAGAATATTAAGCCATTGTTGAGATTGAAAAGAAAAATAGATACATTACTGTTCGTAATAAAGACGATGTAGAAATACTTATTCGTAATAGTACCGATGAACTGCAGGAGATCAATTTTGCTCTCGGTCCATTTCGATGAAAATCTTGAACACAGCAATTGCGATTGTGAAAATGACATTGAACAAAGATGCTTTTGGTCATTTTGATTCTCGAGAAATTTATTATATTATTATTTTACTTCTTGATCGAATTACTCTTCGATTGGCAGGATTCTTCATCTTTGTTTGAACAACACAGATCTACAAACTTTGTATATAATAATATAATTGTGAATTAAAATTTTTATTGCAATCAAAATTAATTAACCATTCAAGATCATTTCTTTTATCATGAAAATTATATTAATAAAAGTTATAATAATTTTCCTGGAATATATATATAGTATCACGTATCACTTGAAATCGATATATTTCTAAAAAATAATATTTATAGAATTAAACTGAAATAAATAAGATGCTAAAGAAATAGAAAAATTAAAATTAATATTAATTAATGATCTCAAATGATCAAGTACTTGATTTTTCTTTCACCATGATTTCAGATCACTTACAATTAGTATTCTAAATATTCAAGGCCACCAAAAATTCTGGACGGTTCATCGTACGTATTATCTGTAATTTTGTATTTCGAAAAAGATAAAATGTTTTTAATATATCCGAGTATATCTGAAGAAAAGAGAACAGGGGAACAAGAGAGAAAGAAAAATTACTGCACGACGAAAGCCAACAGAATGGTTAATCCGGTAGTAACGGCGAGACTAATCCTGTTTGCAGTTGAAGTGGGAATCTCCGGCTGTTCCGGCGCGGTTCCGTTCTCCAAATATTGGTAACTTTTAACTCCAGTTTGTGATCTGACTACTCGATAATTTGGTATGCTAACGTTGACCCGATTCTCCAATATATTTTGCAAAGAATTGGTAACGCAATAAAAGTTACCATCCTCGTCGAACGCAAATGTATCTGGCCATTGCATCCTTTCATGATCTCTCGAGATCACCCTCTGCCCAGTAGTGAACGAGATGGATTGTTTGGTATCCCACATAGCTACAGCATCATCAGCCAATAGTCCAAAGTATAATACTCCTTTGGCTGACATCATCATTCCATCAGTTTGAGAATTTTTTCTTCCTAGTTCTTTAACGTAACTATCCACATTGCTTTCATTGTTCTTCAGCACTGAAGTTGGTATAGAATAAAGATGGAAGGAGGATAATGGCGAGTAATATATTTGTCTGTCGTTACTACTTGCAGGAGACAAAGCAATTCCATCGATAGATACAGGTATATTTATGGGAGTTTTGGAAATCATGAATTTAACTGCTTCGTGTTTAGCTTTCATAGAATCGTGTCTAACTTTCCACGAAGTGTTGTTTCTCAAAGAGTAAACAATTATACCAGGATCGTCGCGATCACTGTCTGTAATGTATGCCATACCACCATCCTCGTGATCCAAGACAATATCATTTAAATGAGCTGTACCATGACGAGCTACGTTCGTAGGAAATTCGTAAATTCGTAGAACCTCGCCATTTTTCTCGAGATCTAGGATTACTAATCTCGGTGGACAAGTGGTCTTTTTTTCTAAAGAAAGAGGTGACATCTTGCCAGAATCTAGTACCCACATACGTCCTATGGGATCGATCTCCATACTTTGGACCATCTGAAATGCACTACAGTCTCCAATTTTCTGCATCTCCCAACTGGGGAAAGCTTCCAGTTTAGGAGCAGTAATATAATTCACCGGTTTAGCAGAAGTGACTCCAAGAGTTACAGGTACTCCATCTTTCCATCTTGGTATTGTCAAATACATTTTACCCTTCCAAAATTTAATACCGGCTATGAAATTATTGGCTGGAACGTAATCACCGTGGCTGATTGCATACTCTTTATTCTCTTCCGATGGCCACATTACGTCGATCGTGTTCCATTGAAAGACTACCCGGAATGGTTCGTGACACTTTGCCACTGCGACGAGAGTGAGTAAGAGTACAACAATCTTCATTTTCTACACTGTATTTACCCACTGTATATGTTTCTTTATCACGATATATCTCACTTTTCTTAGCCTGATCACGTGGCAGGAAGAGACGAAGACTTAACAACGATCCAGTTGAAAACTGATATCCGGAATAAGAGTGTTTCGCAGCCCGGTAAATGTCGCCAGAGAGAGGAAGAAAGTCTATTCTCGAGTCGACCGGCGTAACGAATATTTCGCACGTGCCAACTGCGTTGGCTGGTCTGTTTTTGTCAAGTAACTGATCAACACTGTTCACTGACCATCCATTTACCTTGTGGTGATCTCAACAGGCCTATTACGCGGAGACGATCGCGGTTTGACTGACGAAGACGCGGAGCGTCGCTTAGAGAGGCGTCGTCTCCCCACCAAACGACGTGTATTAACACACTATGATCGTGTGTGCAAGTGTATACGCTATACGTGTGATCGTATGTGGATGCATTTGGATATTGTATGTGCAACAGGAACAAGGTATCCCCACTATTTAATTTCCAAGCGAAACGTAGCTCTATTATTTAACCGATGATGCATCATGGAAATATAAATTAACATTGTTATTTGAAATTATATTCATCATTGTTGATGAACGATACTCGCTTCGTTTAATAGAGTTGACTTTATTAATTTTCTATTAATCAAAACGATTTAACGATTTAAATAGTTATAAATTATTTCTTGTGTTCATTGTATTTTAGAGAATTTTTTTTTTTATGCTATTTTTTTTTTTTATTCTAGAATATGGATATTGAATTATATTCATAAAAAGAAGATGATTATTGACTCAAAAATTTATGAAATTTAGAAGTATATAAAAATATATTGTAATAGTATTCCATGGCTAAACTAGAAAAGTTTTCCTTTCTTCTTATGAATCTCTTGAAAGTATTATCACGTTCATAATTTGTTTTCTTTCTTTCATTTCTCATTATGATAAAAAAATCATGGTTAAATTAGCGGTGATTCTCAATCAATTTTCAGCTGGTAATTAGATTAATATCCTTCTTAGAATTCTATTTTTTCTTTCTGCGTATGTTCATTGTTAAGTTAAACGAAAGACGGTTGACTGAAATGGTACTGAGACCGGTGTTGTAAGGCCGGATCCATTTGAAAGGGAAACGTTGAAAAGGGTGAGCTTAGAAAAGACTGTTGTGTTACGTTTTATATTGCCTAAGATGATCCCGAAAAATCGATTCAACAGTCGCTTCTTCGTACTTCTCCCTTGGACAATTACGTTATTCAGAATTTCGTTGAATTCGTTTTCTTTCTTGATAAAGAAACTTGATCGAAAGGCAACGCTATCATAGAACATTCATTATAAGGAAATGTTTATGTGTGGAGATTAGTAATAGGAGAAATTTGCACTTCAATTACAATGAATATATTTTAAAAACCATATTATCCATTTTAGAAAAAGTATCAGCCAATAATAGTTTTAATTACAATGTTTATATTATATCAATATCGTCATTCCAACTATATGCTGATTAATTTTCTTATTCTATATTATATATGCAATAGTAAGACAATAGTAAGACAATATTCCCATTTAATTGTTTAAAATTTCTAAAAAAAATTTCTTTTCCTTAAAAATCTATCGGAATTCTATTAAAAATTTTAATTTAATTTATTTTTTAAAACTTTTCATTTAATTTTAAGACAGATTTACATCTTTCCTACTATTTTTTATCCAACAGATTTAGTTATGTTTGCTTGAATAAATAGATTTGAATACAATTACATGAATGCAATTATAATGATTTTAAAAAATATTGAAACATTGGTGTAATTCTGTATATAAATAAATAATCCTTTAATAATTGTTATTTGAATATTACATTCGAATTTACGAATTAACCAATAGATGTTATATTTTTAAAAGCAAAATATAATATTTCTGACAGTTATTCAAATATTTATAAAAATTTTCGCAGAAAGACAAAAAGATAAATTGTCTGTCATTGCCAATATACGATTTATAATTAAATAAGTCTTGAACTATATAATAAAACTACCTGTAATAATGATCCATAAAAGAGATGAACATTGATTGGTAAACGGATGAGCATAATTGTTGACTCATGATCGTGTGACATGTAACGTAATGTTATAACAGTAATGAAGAACGTGTATATTGGTAGTATATCTATAATAGTGTTAACTATTTTTACATCATATCATCAAAGATTCTTCCAGACATTTATAGAATCATTCTTATTCATTGTTTTGATCCATTATAGAGTTTTAAGATGCTCACCACGTTTCTTCAATTATATAATATAGATACATATATACATATATTCGTATATATATTCTTTCCAATTCATCAAGTGATCATTAGAGGAACGCTATCAATCAATCGTTATCCATGAGAAATATTTCACAATCATAGAATTGTATTATATCGATTCAACATCGTATATGCCTTCAAATCTTCTTATATATTCCTAATATATCTATATAATTTCTAACCATTTTCAATTATTTTTCTCATCAATGTCATGAGTATTTTTATTAAAATATATCTTATAATCTTATTTGGATTATATTTTAAATTAAATTATGTTTTTATTCACCAGGTAATCATATAAAATAAATCATATATCTTTCACGTTACCAACAAACTGTATAAATATTATATACTTTCTGTCATGCCTAGTGATCTAGCAATTTATTTCATTGTCCATCCCAGCCAAAATTATCTGTAATTATTTGGCGAACATTTTTGTGAATCTGAATTGAATTTTTGAAAATTCTTTAAAATATTACCTCTAAATATTTAAAACTAAAAATATTTTTCTAAGTGTTTATTTTAGTTATTACATTTGTTTTTTATTTCATGTTTCAAATTAACATAGTCTCATTTACTTGTTAGTATCTTTTGTTAGTGATAAAGTTATTTTCATTTCATTAAATATTCTAATTTATAAATTCTTTAATATTATAATTAAATTAATCATAATCTTCTTTATGTTAAATTACAATGTAGAAATGATGGCCAAAAAGAAAAAAATAATCATAAGTAATCAAATGCGTTTCAAAAGCACACCACATTAACATGCTAAGAACTAGACTAACAGAAAGGTTAGAATTACAGATTTATGCTAATTGATTGCTTATTAATATTGTCGAAACGATTTAGTCACAGTTGGCTAGCAGATACTATGCCATTTCTAGCGCTTAGAAGTATTAAATGTACGTGCAAGAATGTTACTTTAATTGACACTGGTCCCACTTTAAATATTACGATTGAATTTCTATTTGTTTGTTAGTCTAATTACAATGCCGATGCGTTTGTATTTTATCTATTATCTAACGGTTTCTCTCAATAAATATAATGAAACATCGTCATTATGAATTTAAACTCGATTAAATATTCTCCTTATTTTTTTCAGATTGAAATTTTTCCATTTTACTGATTCAGCGATGATTAACACATTGCGAAATAATAATTGTTCACCGAGATACCTAAAGAATGCGAATAAGAAGTAGAAACTTGCTAAGAATCATCGTTATTTTCCTTCCAACGTGTTTCCCAACGTCTGTCTTCTTTTTAGAGTAAATATTGTATCTCGGTAGTCTTTGCGACGCAAAAACCACAAGTCTTTTGTAAAATCTGCAAGCATCTAAATTTTAGATGTATTATAAAAATATATTCGTGAATTTGACGCGTGAATCTTTCACAACAATCATTATATAACATCTATAATTTCTCAGTGAATTTCCGTGAATGAAATATTAGTTTATGTAAATGATATAAATCATTTAACATCAAATTAACAATTTAATACTGCTGATTGATCATTTGCTTACAACATTTTAATTTATTTATTAACATTTTGCTTATAACATTTTAAATAATTTATTTATTCTTGAAATTGATAATTAATCTTTCAAACAAGAATTAAAATCTAATGTATTATCTTATTAATTTTTTTTTGCAATTTATATCTGGTAATCTTTATTAATATATCAAATAATAAGAACTTTTTGGAAAATCGAAATTGATATTAATGGTGAAACTGATTAATAAACTTGATCATTATATAATTGCAAAGCTATTGCAAATTGATATGAATAAATATACATACCTACATCACAGCGAATGTTCGTAGGCTTGAAAATCAACGGCCTTGTCGTGCTTTTATGTCGACGTAGTTTCACATCCTCTGTGAAACATCAGTTGCATTCGCGACTGAAAATTCATGTCATGGCCCATTTTTTTCCTTCACTTTCATTGACGTTATCCAAATTTGTTTTGATTTTCCATTGAATTATATTGTCACAATATAACACGTAATTCGTTAATTCCTTTTATTCTTTACTCATTTCCTCTTTACTCATCTCTTTGATAATTCCAGACACGAAGTATTCACGGTCACAATCAACCTTCGTCGAAAGAGCTTTCACTTCGAATTGCATTAATAATGTCTTTCCTTGAATGTAAAAAGAAAATATGATAAAAAATCAAATATGTTTAATCAAGCTTATTAAAAAACACGCTTATATAACGTGCTCGAAATAAACTTATATCAAAGTGCAACACTGTGAATTGCTTTAATAGTGTGGATGACTAATGTAAAATCGTATTTATGAACAGAAGATGAATTGCTCGATAGAGATAAATTTTGCTGCGCATGACATTGACAAGAAATTTGTCGAATTCATCCATTGGTAATCCGTTGTTGGAATCGACAGCCTATCATTTATTTGGACATTTCTTTCCCATCGTCACTTTCGTCCATTCTTCGCCAAAAGACGATTCTTTTCCATCTACACTTCTAACTTTTGTACAAAACTAAAAGTTCAATGATCTCAAAACAAGACCCTTGATAGCATCAGATTACACTCATAAATTTTAACAAAGTTTCCCTATTAAAACTCACCAACTTGTTCCTTGGACAAAATAGGAATAAGAAAATTTCCATTTTATAATTTTTTTATATTTTTTATATCCATAACAAACATCTTGTCCTTAAATGAAAAATATAAATCAACTTATATTATACATATATAGTAATAACTTTAATAATCTTAAATACAATTTAAATATATCAGAAATAAATGCTAAATATATCCTATATATATATAGAATAATAAAAATGTTTATCAATGTATTTTCGCTTATATTAAAGCTGAAAGACGATGAATAATATTTCACGAATTATCCATCATTAATTATATTAAATGTTGGACCTTATTCTGTCAGAACTAACATGCAAACCCATAAACGGGTGAAATGGGAAGTGGTCCGGGAAATAAGTCAGGCTGATTTAATGAACATAAATGTGCGAGTTAGCATATCGGCAAAGGCTGCGCCCTGCGCATCCGTTTTCCAATGGCCTAAAATCCACGCTTACTCTCTTTGTGTGTCGACGATGAAAATAACCCCATCAACGTAGGAAGAGAAGCTAGGTTTACGGATTAGAAACATGAAAAGGAAGGCAGGCTGAAAGAACGATAGTGTTGCTATCAATAAGACCAAGGAAAAGAAATTTATTCGATTGAAATCGGTTCGATCATAGA